AGATGATAGATAGATAGATGATAGATAGATGATAGATAGATAGATGATAGATAGATACATAGATACATAGATACATAGATGGACAGATGGACGGATGGAGGGATAGATGGTGGAGATAGACAGACAGACAGACAGATACCTAGTTAGATTAGATAAATGGATAGATGGACAGACAGACACATAGATGATAGACTTTGAAAGATATGCTTCTCTTCTCCATGTTTTCATTTCTCACTCCCATTCTTGGGTCTCAAATATATTTACTTCACACTTTCTTTCTTAGTAGTGGAACTGACATGTGTCCTGGATTCCACCTGCTGGCATGCCAAGGGTGCCTCTTAAGCATAAGGAGACTTACTGTTAGAGTCTGGACAATGTCATGCATGGTCTCCAGTTAGAGACTAGACAGGAAATGGTCTCTCTCTAACTGCACTGGAGTTTTACAGAACTCTCTGATAATGACTGAAATCTCAGAAGTAGAAAAAAAAAAGAAATTCAGCTTCCTTCCTCTTCTGGCACTTGGGGCATGGTCTCTAGAGCAATATGAAGTGAGGTCAATTTGCAATTTAGTTGTAACTTAAAGTGTTATAGTAAAAAAGAATCAATTATCCAACCTGTGCGGAGAGCGGTTAAGATCAGAATTAGTGACTTGGAGATTATGACCTTGTAGCATCATAGATCAGTGGTGAATTTTAAAACATCATAAGTAGGATCAATTTAATTCCAAGTACTTGACTTGGATGTATGCTAATAGACTGCATGGATGGACACTGTTGAATGATGAACATGACGTTTTCATGGAATGACTTAGGAGGGTGAATTGGGTTCTCTTTTAGTTGTATACCACCGACCCACAAATACATGAAACATCTTGTTACTAAAACACAGGATCCCTGGTGTTTAAAATGGAAGTAAATATGTTCACCCGCTGATCAGACCACCTCCTGGAACTCCACGAGTGACCCAAGCCATGGCCAGCAGTAGCTGCCTGGTAGACGATCACTGTATTTCCAACCAACTGTAATTCATACCCCAAGATCATCTTTTTCTGGTCAATAGAGGGAGTTTCTTTTAGAAAGAACATAAAAGTTCTCCTTAAGGGGGCTGGAGAGATGGCTCAGTGGTTAAGAGCACTGGCTGTTCTTGCAGAAGAGCTGGATTTGAATCCCAGCACCCACATGGCTGCTAACAACTGTCTGTAATTCCAGTTCCAGGGGATCTGATGCCCTCTTCTGTCCTCCAAGGGCATTGCACAACACAGGTGCACTTACATGTGGGTAATACAGGCATATACATAAAAATAAATAAATATAAAATAAAAATATAACTGTAAATAAAATAAATATAAAAAAGATTCTTCTTAAGACTCCAGATCCTTTTTTTTATTTTTAAACTTTATTTTTTTAACGTATATGAGTGTTATGTCTGTATGTATCTAAGTGCACCTGTGCTGTGCAATGCCCACAGAGGACAGAAGACAGTGTTGGATCCCCTAGAACTGGAGTTACAGATAGTTGTTGGCCACCATGTGGGTGTGGGGATTCGAACCTGGTCCTCTGCAAGAGGAGCCAGGGCTCTTAACCACTGAGCCATCTCTCCAGCCCCTGTTATATTTGTAAAGATGTATTTTTATTTTTAATTATGTGTATATATGGGGGGATTGTACACGTGCATGCAGGTGCCCATGGAAGACAGTGACAGGCAGTTTTAAGTCTCCCAATGCAGTTGCTGGAATTGAACTTGGAACCTTTGAAAGAGCAGCCATCTCTACACCCCAACTCCCCCCGATCCTGCTTTAATTGAGGCACTGAGTGAGCTTTCTAAGATACACAAGCAGTCAAGTCATTTGCCTCCTCTAAATGTTCAGTTTCTTCCCGCCCCCAAAGAAGTAGCAGTGTGGGGCCAGCGAGTCTACTCAGCAGATAAAGGAGCTTGCCTCCAAGCCCGAGTTCAGTTCCTGGAACCCACAGAATGGAAGGAGAGAACTCACTTCCACAAGTTGTCCTCTCTCCTCTATACATGTTCTGTGACACGCATGTGCCTAAATAAATAAATAAATAAATAAATGTAATTTTAACGTCTTTAAAGAAGCTGGGTGTGGTGGCACACACTTTTAAGTCCAGCACTTGGGAGGCAGAAGCAGGCAGATCTCTGTGAGTTCAAGGCCAGCCTGGTCTACGTAGTGAGTTCCAGGACAGCTGGGGCTACAGGGAGACCCTGCTTCAAAAAGACCAAAAAAAAAAAAAAGAAGCAGTGTGAACACTGACCTACACATCCACCTCTGTTCCACCTTTACCTGTGATCACCTCACCTCACCTGTCATCCTAACCTTTTGTCTCTGTGCCTTTGCACAAGCTGTGCCTCCAGCTGGTCTGGTCCTGTCCAGAAAATTCCCACTCATCTTTTAAGAGCTGCAATCAGGGGCTAGAGAGATGGCTCTGCAGTTAAGAGCTTTTGCAGATGACCCAAGTTCAGTTCCCAGCACCCACGTCAGACAGTTTACAACTGCCTGTAACTCCAGCTCCAGGAAATCTGATGCCCTCTTCTGGCCTCTGCAGGCACTGCACATACGTGTACATGTATTCTCTCACTCATAAATAAAAACAACAAAAATAAATCTTAAAAAATTTGCATCCAACTTTCTCAGTCAGACCTTCCTGAACTTTCTTCACACCTTTGTTCATAACCGCCCTCTGGCATGCCTTCTTAGACTGAGCTCCTTGCATGCAGGTCCGGAGTGCCCTCTTGAACTTTGCTTTTAATGGTTTTTAAAAATATTTAATTTATTATCTTTATTTTGTGTATATGAGTGTCTTGCCTGCATGTATATAAGTGCACCCGTGTCATACAATACCCATGAAGGCCATAAGAAGGTGTCGAATCCCCTGGAACTGGAGTCAGAGACAGCTGTCAGCTGCCATATGGGTACTGGGAACCAAACCTGGGTCCTCTGCAAGAGCAGCCGGTGCTCCTGAGTGCTGAGGCATCTCTCTAGCCCCCCCAAATTTAAAAAAATTTTAAGAATTCCAGGTGTGTTGGAGAGATGGCTCAGCAGTTAAAAGCACTGGCTGCTCTTGCTGAGGACCCAGGTTCTGTTCCCAGCTCCCATGTCCAGTTCACAACCGCCTGCACCTCCAGTTCCGGGGAATGGAACACATATTTTGGCCCCCACAGACATCTGCACTCATATATGCACATACCCAGCCCCACATGTATATGCATAACACAAAATTAAATATTTTTTAAAGAGTGTCAAGGACATACCCCACTCCATATTTTTACCAGAGTTTCATGATTATTCAATGTTTACATGAAAGTCAAACTACAATAGGTAGGGCACAGACAACATTTACAGTTTTCAATCCATTTTGAAACTTAGGATTTTTTTTTTTAATATCAAATGCCACTCTCCAGGAAAAGTTTCTCTCATTGAACTGAATGGTATGATTCCTAAATATTAAGTTTGGAAAAAGGCCATGAGATATGGAGCTGCGTATTATCTTAAAATAACTTATTATGCACATTAAAACATGTAGCTTTCCTTTCCGGTGTGATTGCTTTGTTTGATCAAATTGAAAGTCAGGTTTCCTATTATGGCATTTATGTCTTATTTCCTTAGACTAAATGAAATTGTTCCATTATAGCAAATAGAAGCTTCGTAATGGTTTGATTTGAGTTTAATTGGAAGGCCATTTCTTAGAATACTTTACCATTCTGGTCACATATTTGATATTGTGTTTTTCAGTAGACACTATGAGCTAAGACTGGGTTGAAACCTTTATAAAGGACTTGAGCAGTTGGTATCCCCCTAGACTTTCAAACTTAGGGCCTGCTCTCATCAAGGTCCCTATAGAAACAAAACCCTAGAAGAGATGCCCCCCTGGGGCTTTGATCAGGATGTGCACACTGTTAGGAGACTGATAATAGCAAGTTTCCCTCAGCGTTACAGTCTCTGTGTTTCTGAATTGGAGTTCACCAAGACATCAGAGTCTTTCCTGTCTTTCTTAAGGTTTCCTCACAGCAATGAGGCAAGAAGTGACCCGAGCCCACAAAGGCTGGGCACTGGACACCGTGACCATCCACAATGAAGTCCTGCGGCAGACCAAGGAGGAGATCGCAGCACCCCCTGCGGTAGGTACTCTGGCAACAGCTCTGGAGATGAGGATGAAAATTCGAGTTCTGGTCAAAATTGACCTTGAGGGTTGAGGATGCAAATCATTGATCAAATACTTGCCTAGCATGCAAGGCCCTGCGTTCAATCCCCAGCACCACAAAAACAAATAAAATATTCAAAACTGACCTTGGCTTCCTCCGTGGAGTCCATCTGCTTTGCAGAGAGGATTTCCTTTGTGGTAACCGGATGACCTCAAGGCCAAAGCCTCCCACATCTGCTGAGTGGGAGTTTAGTGACAAGGTCTGGTGAGCCCAGGGTCTCCCCAGACCTTTGTAACTGCAAGTTATGCATGTGTTTGTTTAGAATTTCCATGTCTGCAGCTATTGCTCTGGGTCAGCCACAGGTCCCCTGAGACAGAAGGGGAGTGTTGCGGGAGGTGGATGCCTACTGGACTAACAGCTGGGAGCCCTGGGGTCAGTTCTCCCCCTGTCCTGTCCCTCTGTCTATTTTGGGACTCTGGGTTGGAAAGATGCTGTGTTGTGGGGAAAGCAGTCCTTCTGAGCCACGGCTTGGACGCTAATCTTGGGCAAATTATTGAATGATTTTTTTTGAACCTGAACTTCTTTACCTATAAAATGAATGTGACAATTCAACCTGTTTGAAGGAAATTATGAAGCTTTAAATCCTATTGTGTGGACTTAGTACCAGATCCAATATAGTCACTCAACAAATCCTAGTCCCTTTTCTCTTTTTCTGTTTACTCCCTCAGTTGCCAAGGGGGCTAGATCAGATGATTTTTCTCAGCTGTGGCCAAACTCGTTCCTTCAGTGTCCAGTAGGTTCCTAATGTCTCTCTGAGATCTCATCTTAAACACCTCTAACTCCTGTATTTTTCCCAGCCTCTCTTCATAGTAATTAGGGTCTTTCTATTATATGCCCCAGTGTTCTCTGAACTTAGGGTAATCTCCAAGTCACCTCCACCTATGAAGGCATTTATTACGACAGCACCCTGCTTCCTGGTACCAAAAATCTGTATTTGTTCCCTAAAGTATGACAACTGGGTGGCTAAAAGCGAGAGTACCTTGTTCCCTTACAGTCAAGAAGGTCAGAAGTCCCAAATAATGTAGTTCAATTGGTAGAGTGCTTGCCTCGCAAGCACAAAACCCTGGGTTTGATCCCTACCCAGCCCTGCATGAACTGGGTGTGGTGGTACACACCTCTAATCCCAGCACTCAGGAGGTGAAGGCCTGAGGAGCAGGAGTTCAAGGTCATTGCTGGTTACATAGCGAGTTCAAGGCCAGCCTGGGGAACATAAGACCCTGCCTCAAAACAGAACAAAATAAAGCAAATCAATGATTGGCAATGTTGATTGCTTCTTGATTTCTTCTGCTCCAAGAGAGAATCTTATATGAAATAAATAATGCCTCTCTCCTAGATACAGATGACTCCTGGCAGTCCTTGGCAAGATTGGTTGACTTTAGGCTACATCATTTCAGTGTCTTTCATCATAATTCCCTATGTGTCTCTCTGTGTGACTTCTCTTCAAACACACACACACACACACACACACACACACACACACACACACACACACAGTCAGTCATACATATTGGATTAAGGCCTGCCTAGACCCAGTACGCCCTTATTTAAACTAGTTACATTAGCAAAGCCATATAGTTGTATATAAGGTTCTGGGTTGACATAAATTTGGGGTGACACTATTCTATCTACCATGCCTTCTCACTGTGATTCTTAATGTCATAAAATTGAAAAGACCATAAAGAAGAACACAGTTGGCTGTAGGATTGTTCCCGGTAGATAACTGTTCATGTAGATAATTGTCAGCCACTAAGTTAATGATGGGAACCCTGATTCTCTTCGACTACCCAGCATCTCACTCTCCAAACATGTGCCTCCACTTGTGGTTCAAAATATATGGCCCTCATACAGTTAGCCTACAGGAAAGTCCTGGAAACCCTTTGCAGCTAATCTCCGTGTCCTTTATTATGAGCTACATCTATTTACCCAAGCCCGGATCTTCACTGGAAATGGAAAAGCAGTCTCCATCTTCAACTTGAATACACTTTATGAGCTTGAATGATTCTGGCCTTTTCTTGTTTTAATAAATCATGCTCTTTGGCCCCCCAGTGCCTGCAAGAGTTCAGACTCCACAGCTTGGCATGCAGACGATTCTACCACGATCAAGTGCTAACTCATTGTATAACCTTTGAACCCTCTAAGCAAATGTCTGCTTTTCTGCACCCATCCTGTCTTTCTTTGTGGCATTTCTCTACCCACTTCTCCACCGTTCCACAGCTGCAAACCTTTTGGGGCGCTCATTAAATCTGTGTCCTCCACAAACTCCCCTAAAGCTACAGCTCACGTGACTTTTCATGTCCAAAGTCACTGAGCTGACCCTCAGAACCCATCACCAGACAGCTCCATTAACAGGCGTATGCTGCCGTTCAGTTCTGATTTTGCACGTTTTCCCCTGTACACGGGTGTCTTGTGTTTCCAGTCGAAAGGCAAGGCCCATGAGGGCGAGTCCATTTGTGGGACAGAGCGGGAAGGTTGGAGATGCTTTCCTCCATGCCCCCTTGCTGTACCACACCCGGCCTCTGGGGGGCGCCCTAAACTCACTTCATCCTCGTGAGGCCTACTGAGCCAACACAGCCCGAGAGACAACAGTTCCAATCACAGTCCGTACTTGCACCAACTCAAACTGGGCTCAAGTCTCAAAAGGTGACTTGGCTCTCCTGTTGGTGAGGTGGGCCACCCCCCCAACCCCCGCTTCCAGAAACCCATAACAAAGCATTTCCATTGTTTACCTAGGCTCATTCTGTCCCCTTGGGGGCAACTGGGCTCAGTATTTCATGAATGTGATGTGTCCAGCGGTGTCCCCTTATCTTACAGCGTTTTTTAAATTGGCATGTGCTGTCTTTCCAAACTACAAGCCTGATTACATGAATGGATGCCTGCCTGCCGTCAGCACCTGGGCTTTTTTTTTTTTTTTAAACTCTTCTTCCTTGCCATTTGACTCTTCCAGGAAGGTGTGTATATTTATGGGCTGTACGTGGATGGGGCAGCCTGGGACAGACGGAACGGGAAGCTCACAGAAGCCACCCCGAAAGTGCTTTTCACACAACTGCCGGTTCTGCATATCTTTGCCATTAACTCCACCGCACCCAAGGACCCGAAGCTGTACGTGTGTCCCATTTACAAGAAACCCAGGCGAACTGACCTGACCTTCATCACCGTTGTGTACTTACGAACAGTGCTGTCCCCAGATCACTGGATCCTGAGGGGAGTGGCCCTCTTGTGTGACATCAAGTAAGTTCATCTCCACCCCTACCAGAAGATGCACATAAGCAGCCTGCTGTGGAAAGGCCGGGCCATGTGTGTGTCTTGCCCCCCCCCATAACTGCTTCATTTCTTTCTCAATTAAAAAGTCAACAGTTTTCCCATCTTGTCTGTTTCTTCCTTTTATGTTAGTATACAAAGAGACCATTCCAAACTCAGGTTTTTGATTCTAAAAAAGTCACATTCCATTGTAATTACTTTCTTGAAAGATAAACTCCTCTCTTCCTGTTAGAATACTGTTTGGAAGGCTTGTGTCTTTTGGTGGTGCACGCCTTTAATCCCAACACTCGGGATGTAGAGTCAGGCGGATCTCTGTGAGTTCAAGGCCAGCCTGGTCTACATAGTGAGTTCTAGGACAGCTGGGGCTACAGGGAGACCCTGTCTCAAAAAGGCCAGAAAGAAAAAAAAAGCAAAAACAAGTGTTAATACAATACATCCTAAAAGGAATCCATCAGATAGAAACTTTTCCTTCAGTGAAAGATAATCCCAGGCTGTTGAGATGGCTTAGTGGGTAAAGGCGCCTGCCACCAAGCTTAACAGCGTGAGTTTGATCCCTGGGATCCACACATGGGGAAAGGAGTGAGTTGACTCCCACAAGTGGTCCTCTAACTTCCACAGTGTGCTGTGGCACATGTGCGCACACATACACACAAATAAATGTAATGAAAATAATTAATGTAAAAACTATTCCCAATAGTCTACTCATGTCTAGATTTATGAGAATGTTGCCCTTAGGAGTTTTTAATTCTTCCAGGGGTCTAAGCAGTACCCCTAAGTTAGTTCAGCTCTATGTGTGTGTGTGTGTGTGTGTGTGTGTGTGTGTGTGTCACAAAGCCCATTGGGATGCTTGATCTTGTCATTTATTTTAATTTTATTTAATATTGTTTCATTTTATTTTTGTAGTGCTTTTGAGGCTCAGGGAGCTCTGACGCTCCAGCGCTCCCTCCCACGCTCCCATGCCCAGTTCTGCAGGAGATAATGAAACACATTTCTAGGCAGCAAATGGAGAAAGAAAAACAAACTCCATCAAACAAAATTAGGTTACATGCTGAATGTCTTAAAAAGCAGAGTCTTTAAAAAGTGAAGCTATTCCTTACTCCATAGTTAGTCTGAAACTCAGTATGAACCTTTATTTCCTGCTGAAGGAAATTGTCAATTTAACAGAACAGATGGGGTCCTCTATTGAAATGCTTATGTAGCTCTGGGATACTGAAGAAGTGACTTTCCACTGGTCTCATCTGGAATCATCTTGCCCATCTTTGGCTCATTCCTCAAATTTCATTGTCTGTCTGTCCCAAAGGATGGAGATGGTCCGAGCTCCCCCACTTCTTTCTCCTCCTCTGTCACCCTGATCAGAGATGGTGGTGCCAAACAAAATAAGGTGTCCAGAAGACCCCAGAGGAGATACCCCACAGTCAGGTGTCCCTCCTGACCACAGAAACATATTCTGAAATGTGGACTGTAGCAATGGCCTCTGGTATGTCCCTCAGATCCATCAATGCCAAAGCCACAGAACTTTAAAAATAATGGTAAAGTAACCAAACCCCTGACCCAAGTGTTCCTTCACTTCCCATGGCCAGGATGTACTGAAACATAGGCAGCATTTCTTGGGAAAGTGTTCTGAACTAAGGCTAGACTTTAGAAGCTCCTGCCAGTCTGAGTGGGCTCAGGAAAGCAAGGCAAGAAGAGCACGTTATAGCAAACCAGCCTGGCAGGTTCTGGAATAAAACACATGCCGGGTGCTAAAACAATTGAGGGCAAATGTATAAACTAAACCCTTGGATATCCCAAAGGGTTATTAGAGAATAATAATTAGGTTCAATGTTCTCTAATGACTCCGATGTCTCGGAGAAAAACTAAAGAAAATGATGGAAGGCTATAAAACTAGCAGAGGTCATTGATCAAACTGGTTAATGTCACCCAAGAAACATTTTCTGGGAACTCTGCTGTGGCTGATTATTTTGCTTTGAGTCAACAGTAAAGAGAGAGAGAAAAAGAGAGAGAGAAAAAGAGAGAGAGAGAGAGGCACTGAGGCCCAGCCAAAATGGGCACCTGACCCCTGGGCAGTGCCTCAAAATGGTGTAGTGGATGGCTGGTGCTTTGGAGCTGCCTGGGTTCTGCTGAGAGCTGGCTGAGGATCCAGTTCTGCTCCTTTTTACTGAGCTTAGTAAATGGGTTTCCTTAGACATTTTCAGCCATTGAACTTCCATAAACACATAACCATTTTCTCAGCGAAATTGTTGCTCTTTCACTAATTACATAATTTGCCACACTTGAGTGAGGGAGACCTGGTGAGCATAAAAGTAGAAGGGGGAGGACGCCAACGGAAGCCGGGGGAGCGGCGGAGTGAAGATTTTGGTTTTCCCCCCTCTCTGGAATCAGTCCACATCTCATTCTGATCTCAGCAAAATGAGCAATGAGATTTATATCATTGTTGATTTAAAATGTTATTTTACTTTGGACTTTACATAAAAATAAAAGCAAGAGAAAAGTGTCTAGAGATAAAGCTTCTAAAAGGGACCTGTCTTACAGAGTCAGTGTGTGAACAAGCCTCACGCTGTCTCTGTCAGAGACTTCAGATGAATAGCCATCTTGACTCCTCAGGGGGCTGTAATTAGAGGTGCGGTGTGACTCAGGGTCATCTGTGAAGGTCCCAGGCATGGTCAAGGATATGTAAGGTTGAGGAATGACCTTGAAGGCAAGGTAGCACTTGAGTTGGGTCTTGGAGATTTCATAGGTACCTTCAGGGCTATAGAGAGGCCTGTTCTAAGGCAGGCCCCAGTGTGAAGGAGATGTATTTGTTATTTGTCTTATCTTGTAACCAAATACCTGATAGGAAGCAACACTTAAGGGAGGAAGGATTCATTTTAACTCACAGTTTGGGGGGGAGAGCTCATCACGGTGGGGTTGGCGTGGTGGGGTGGCCCATAACTGTGGCCACCAGAGTCTTAGACTGCTTGCTTATCTGTTGCTGGATCAGGAAACAAAGAACAGACAAGAAGCAGGACCAGGCTATTAACCTCAAGAACCACCCCCAATAACCACTCCCTCCAGCGAGGCTCCACCTCCCAAAGGTTTTTCAACCTTCCAAATCAGTCAAGGACCAAGGGTTCCTGAGCCTCTGGGGGATACGTCACAGCCCACACACAATGAGAGAGAAGAGGAGAGAGATGGGAAATGGTGTGAAATGAGACACAGGTCAAACAGCCTTCAAGAAGGCTGGACTGCACAAACCAGATACCAAGGGCCTCATGAGCTGGCCTAAGACCAAACTTCTTTGTAGCTCAACCCATCACTCAGCAGCCCTCAGTGCCACAGCAAGCTTCTGCAAAGTAGAACCTGCTAAGCACCCCAGTGAGTGCTGACAAAACAAAGAATTGACGAACAGCAAATAACTCAGCCTGAATGTAGGCGAAGATGGCGAAGGAGTGGGGGACTGATCATCCGTGAGGGACTGGTTGGGGAGGGTCTAGAATCGTAGAGGACAGTGGGGAGTCACTGATAGGATAGAGGTCTGGTCTATTCTAGTTTTGTTTTTGTTGCTGTGATAAAACATTGACTAAAATCAACTTGAAGAAGAACCTGTTTATTTCACCTACAGCTTATAGACCATCACTGAGAGAAGTCAAGGCAGGAGCTTGAAGTAGAAGCTGAGGAAGAGGCTTGTTCAACTAATTTTCTTATACAGACCAGGTGTCCCCCACTCCCTGCCCCTGGGGCCCAGGCACCACCCACATCAATTAGCAATTAAGAAAATGCCTCCACAGACAAGCCCACAGGACCTTCTGATGGAAGAAATTCCTCAGTTGAGTTTCCCTCTTCTGAGGTGACTCTAGTTTGACAAAATCTAACCAGCACAAGGTGGATAAATAGTTCTAGAAAGGAACCAGAGAGCTGGCAATTAGAAAGGAAGAAAAGCAAGTCATCTGAGAGACAGCAGAGAGTGCAATTTGGAAATTCAGAAATGAAGTTGGGGAGGATAATCAGAAAATATCTGAAGACAGCTGGAGATGTAGCTCAGTGGTAGAGCCCTTACCTAGCATGCTCAAAGAAACACACACACACACACACACACACACACACACACACACACATTCTCCATTTTATGATCTGGAGAATCTACCTGAATGTTTCTAAACTTGAGGGGAGGAGACTGGGGAGATGGCTCAGAGGGCCTGAGTTCAGATTCCCAGAACTTGTATATAAAGCTGGGTGTGGTGGTACATGTTTGTAATCCCAGTGATGGGTAGATGGGGGGCAGAGACACAAACATTCCTTAGGACCCTGTCTCAAGGTAGAAGGCAAGGACCAACACTGGAGGTTGGTCTCTGACCTCCATACCAGTGGTGTGGCACACATGTGCCTAGACTCAGACATGAACACGTGCACACAGACACAGACACACACACACACACACCCCTATTAAAAGAGAGAAAAGAAAATAGAATATAAAAAAGAAAAAATTACCATATCAAAGAAAAAATGTCCATGTCAAAGAAAAAATTACCATTTCAAAGAAAAAATAACCATATTAAATGAAATTTAATATGAAAATTTAATGAAAAAAGTGGAATTATGGGGAACTTTCTATTTTATTTATTATTATTAACACTATTATTATTATTTTGGTGGTGTATGCCTTTAATACTAGCACTTGGAAGTCAGTGGCAGAAAGATCTCTGTGAGATGGAGGCCAGGCGGGTCTCCATAGTGAGTTCCAGGCCACCTGGGGCTACAGGGAGACCCTGTCTCATAAAAGAAACTTTCAATTTTAAAAGGCCAGAAACCACTCACAGTTAAAATAACTTAATGACATGAACCTGGGTATCTAATAGTGTTAGGGTTCCAAATAGCAGCTCCCCCCCTTCCCCAACAGGGACCTACAGACTTTGGAGCCCGAAAAAGGGAACTGAGCTGATAAGCACCTTGACCTTTGGAGTCAAGGGAAACAAACTCTGCTGAGAAGCAGCCTGCCTTTCCTCTGACCTCCAAAGATAGGATAAGCAGA